CTTGCCAGGCAGGCGCTTTTGCCGCTGAGCTAAATCCCCAGCCCCTAATGCCTTTTTCTTGCCCTAAAGGTCATACCTATTTTAGGAAGGGTTGACCAAGATAGTTTGTAGACCAGTTTTGTTTATTTTTTTTATAAAGCATATGGCTAATCACTATTTCCTTAGAAATCTTCGTAAATTGAGCTCTTCATCCTGAATATTTGAAGCCTAAATGCTAGGTTTCTGGAGACTTTTTTTAAAATCAGAATTCTATCATAGCCTTTTAAGTATTCAGATTTAAACTTGTCATAATGATCTGTACTTTCGTGTACCATTGCTCAAAAGTTAATTTTGTTGAACTTTTGTACTATTTTATTAGTTTTTTTTTTTTTTTTGCTGTTTGTATTTTTTAAATTAAAGGAATAATGCATATGTATAATAGGTAAAATTAAAAATTTAAATAAAGAAAAATTCCCTTGTAATCTTATTACATTAGTTCATATTTATTAATAATCTAGTGTGTGTTCCCTTTATACCTTTTAGTATGTATACCTGCATTTTTAAGAGTTCTTAATTGTACTACTTTAAATTAATTTTAAAAATTTTTTGCTCATAGGAAAAAACAGAATCTCTAATATGCCAATATGAAGCCATTAGCCTACTTAATTCCGAGCGTTATGCCCGCCTCGAGCGGGCACAGGTCTTGGTGAACCAGTTTTGGGAAACTTACGAAGAGCTTAGCCCTTGGATTGAGGAAACTCGGGCACTGATAGCACAGTTACCTCCGCCTGCTATTGATCATGAACAGCTCAGGCAGCAACAAGAAGAAATGAGGGTAAGGAACGTGCCAAGTTTTATTTCATTGCCGAATGAAAATGGGTTCTGTAATCTTTTTCAAAACTGACATATTCGTTAGTGCTTACTAGGTGCAAGGTTTGTGTTATGAAGTTAATTCTTAATCAGTGAAAATTTCCTTTCACAATAAAAATACATGTTGAATTATTTTTTCTTATTCAATATGACTAATGAATAAAATTATGGAAGTATCAAGACCCTTTACAGAGGTAAAGTAATAATTAACATAATGGTAGAGTATTTGCCTAGTGCAATAATGGCTAATCTTTCAGAGACAGAGTGCCCAAACTGCAAGCCAAAACCCACTTACTTATCACAAAGTGCCAACACTGTAATTAAACCTGACTATTAAGGTTTTAGTTTAGAGAAAACAACTCATACATTAAAAGAAAAACACAGTAACAGAGCTTTCAGTGATACAAACAGCCCATGGTGCAGCGTGTGCAATGGGTTTGCCACCACTGATCTAGTGTATGTAAGGCCCTGGGTTCTATCCCCACCACTGCAAAAACAAAACAGAACATAAAACCCCACCTTTTTTAAAAAAGGAAATTTGGACTATTTCCAAGGATGTGCAAATATTGTCCAACTGAGGCTGTGGTTGGATGTCTTCTCTGCAGTAGGCCCCAGTTGGAGTGAGAGCTCTGAAGGAATGTCAGAAAACATTTGCTACATATAGTTAAGATGAAAGGGAAATTTTTACACACTTCAACTCATGTTATTATCTTTACTGATGCATTTTTAATGATTAGTTTAGTGCTTAGGTTTATTACTGTTCCCATATCCCTGTAAGTAGAAGATTTAAACTGGAAGTAGCTAATAGTAAAGTCAAGGAGTAGTCAGATTACCAGATTAGTTGCAATTCATAGCTTATCCTGCTTGATGTCTCTCAGTCTGGTATGGTAGACAGATAATAAATCATAAATTACAGTATAGCACATAAAGGTATTTGTGAGTAAAGAAGAGAGTAGAATAGACTAGTATGACATGGCTGGCTTCCAGGTTGATGAGAACACCTGAACTAGTTTTAGAAAGTTAAGAGACTAGCTGCGCATAGTGGTACATGCCTATAATTCAAGCACTTGCAAGGCTGAGGTAGGAGGATCACAAGTTGAAAGCCAGCCTGAACCATATAATGAGACTCTGTCAGAGAGAGAAAGAATATGAATGAGAATGTAAGAGAATTAGCTAACATCAGAGTCCAAGAATACAGATGTTTTTCCGTTTTCCCATAAATGGTGACATGGTAGGTTTTGCTGATTTTTAACAGTTCAGTTTGTTCCTCTCAAAGCTGTGATCAAGTATATAAATAAGTAAGCTGGTATAAAATGCTCGGTATGTTTTTTGTTTTTTGTGGTGCTGGAGATCAGAGGCAGAGCTTCATATGCACAGTGTGTGCTCTACCACTGAGCTACACCCTCAGGACTGTTCATTATATTTTTATCCATATGTCTTTCCATAGCAACTGAGGGAATCCATTGCTGAACACAAACCTCATATTGATAAGCTACTAAAGATAGGCCCACAACTAAAGGAGTTAAACCCAGAGGAAGGGAAAATGGTGGAAGAAAAATACCAGAAAGCAGAAAACATGTATGCCCAAATTAAAGAGGAAGTGCGTCAGCGGGCTCTGGCTCTGGATGAGGCTACCTCCCAGTCTGCTCAGGTATGTGTATGTGTTATACTCCTGTAATGTTAAAACTGGTTGCTATGCTAATCAAAAGGTCTTGGTGTCAGGTATGCCTGTGTACTTGGGAATGTACAGACTAGCATGTCAATAGTACATATCAACAGAGGAGCAAGCTTTGCCTACCTGCATTTGTATTTCCAGGAACATTGGCATACTGACACTCTCTGGAGGGTAAAGTGCACCTTGGCTGGTGTACATAATTTTTTGTTGATAATTTCCCTGAAAATTTTATATTGTGACGATCGTTTACCAAGTGTGATTTTGGATAAATTTGTCGGGTAGATCCTAAAGCAGTGACTGCCTCAGCAAAAGTCCAGAGCCTGTTGAGCCTGTTATCTCTGAGATTTAGAATGATGTAGCACATTAGCCGTCTTATTCAAGAAGCTACCAGCTTTCTAATTGAGAGAAAGATACTTCACTAGGGAGAAAAGCCAAAAAGAAGCGTAGAACACCACAGTGGACTTGAAGGCATGTAACTACATAACTTTTCAACTAATACTGTTAGTAGAACTTTGTCATGTCTGGGTATTTTATTCCTATGTTTAGTCAGTATTCTTGGTTAATATTTGTACTTACTCAAGTTTTTCCCCCCCACCTCCCGTCCCATCTCTCACTCACATTGTGGAATGTGTTACTTTGTGTTGTTGCTGCCTGCTCCTGTCTTCCCCACATCGTCACATTTCATTGTTGTGTTGACCGCGCCCACCATAACAGATTACAGAGGTAAGGTACCCACCCCCATTGGGATTAGGGGATTCTTATACAGCTGAAAATTGAGGCCATTACCTATAAAGAAATTTCCTGTTACATTAGAATAAACTGAATCATTACAGTGTATTGTGTCGCTTGCATTTGGGGTGGATTCCAGAAGTGAGGGGGTGATGGGAAGTGATTCTGTTATGGACTCTAATAGGACACATTAGTTTCTTTTAAGAGGCTCATTTAACTAGTTTGCCATCTTTTCTCCCCATTCTGTAGAATGGTAAATGAGAATTTACTTCATAATTGTAGTCATGTTACTCAAAATACTGGAAAAGTGAGACGGTGTCAGGTTTTTTTAGAATAAAGTGAGATTTGGCCTTTCTTAATTACTTTTCATCATGCCAACATTTTCTTCTGGCTGTTCCATACAGTGAGTTGTTAAATTGTATGCCCTGATACTCTTAAACTCTGCCTCATGCAGCATATTAAGTTCCCCGTCCATGTGCACAGCTGGTGGAGGGCATCTAACTTGTTAGTCTGATCTGTTGCATGCCAGTGTCATCTGCGATGTTGACATACTGACTCACCAGTTTCATGGTCTTGTCCCTTTTTGTCATATTAGTTGGGGTAGGAAAATAGTGTGATGGCACTAATAACTTCAGTTGATTTCTGGCATATTACTTGATCTCTTCTGACCCTGAAATTTAATACTGCCCCTACCACAATGGGGCAGCTCTGGGGTACTATACCCAAAATGGTTTCTTAGCTAACCCCAACACTTACGAGCTACCAGGCTAAGTTGAGCACAGGTTATCCTAAACAGTAGTAGATTTATGCCTTGTCCTTATTCCCTAACATTTCACTAAGAAGTGTGATGAAGTGTTGCACTGTTAGCTAATGTTCCAACTTTGTTTAGTTCCATGATAAAATTGAGCCCATGTTGGAGACTCTGGAGAATCTTTCATCTCGCCTCCGTATGCCACCCCTCATCCCTGCTGAAGTGGACAAGATCAGAGAGTGCATCAGTGACAATAAGAGTGCCACCATGGAACTCGAAAAGCTGCAACCATCTTTTGAGGCCCTGAAGCGCTGTGGAGAAGAGCTCATTGGGCGATCTCAGGGAGCAGACAAGGATCTGGCTGCAAAAGGTACATGGTCAATATAATTATTCTCAGAGAAAAGTCGATTAATTCCAAACTGCGATCATCTTGAGCATCCTACCAAATGTATTTCATTGAATGTAAAAGCAGCCTGCAAATAATGAGTATTCCACAGAGTCATTTGGAAGTCATTTAGAATTCAGGACACATTTTCCTATTGAAACAAGGTTACAATTGGTAGTTAGATTCCCAGGCCAGGAAACAAATGCTTCTTTAACCCCTAATGTGGGCAAACCACAGTATCAATAGTGGTTAGAACATAACTACCTTTTATAACATTTTCCATGGGAAACACGCAAATCTAGCGCAGAATACTGGAAGTAGAGTTCCCCTCTTTATTTTTATCTCAGCAGCACCTTTATATTGGATTTCTAGACTGCTTCTGTGATCCCTTTTTGTGGGGGACCAACATAAACAGAAAATGTTAGTGTAGAAGTAATAGTATTAAAACTAATGTGGAAAACTAGTCATCAGTTACAAACTTTTAGAGCTGCTTTTAAAAGATAGTTTCACTGAAAATGTCAGAATTAGATGAAATTTCTGGTGAGACTGCTTTGAAGTATTTGGAGAAGTCCTACTCTTCTTTATCCCCCTCAGAAATTCAGGACAAACTGGATCAAATGGTGTTCTTCTGGGAGGACATCAAAGCTCGGGCTGAAGAACGAGAAATTAAATTCCTTGATGTCCTTGAATTGGCGGAAAAATTCTGGTATGACATGGCTGCTCTCTTGACCACCATCAGAGACACCCAGGATATCGTCCACGACTTAGAAAGCCCAGGCATTGACCCCTCCATCATCAAGCAACAGGTTGAAGCTGCTGAGGTAAGGAAAAACCAAAACTTCTCTTAAATGTGTCCTTTAGCAAAGCATTTTATCCAGGTATGTTGTGTTAGCTGCTTTAGCCAGACTGGGTACTTTGAAAGTATTTTGGAAGTTTTTGTTTTTTTTGTAAGACTTTTTCCACTTGGAAAATAAATACCTGCTTATTGTAGTAAATTTCTTTAACATAGAAAGACAGACAGGCAGTAGAAAAGAAAAGCCAGTTCTGCACGCGTCATCCAGAGTTGACAGTTGTTGCTTTAACGTCTGTTTCTTAGCGTGGGCCAGCGGTGCAATGGGTGACATACATTTCTGTAATCTTTCTAGGGAGTCTGGTCTATAATAAATGTATATTTTTTCGCATCTAGTCCCCTTAGCACAAACAAGCCTATCTTGGTGTTGCTTTTTATATTCCCTATTTTAATTTTAGATATTTTCCCAAGTAGAAATTCTTCTCCTCACCCCTCTGTTGTCCCTTGAAACGGTGTTTTAAGATCTGGAACAGAACTGGCTTTCTTCAGGGTCATATAGCCCAGCATTACCATTGTGCAAGTCTGTCAGTGCTGACGTTTGTGACTTGCACTGTACTGTTTGCCCCTTGTTTATATTTTTCTTTGAAATTAGACCACTGCTCTAGATTATAATTTCCCTGGAGGCAGGAAGCATTGAGCTATTAGTAAATTATCAAAGCTCACTGTGTCTTTCCCATACTGTCCAAATTTTTATTCTTGCAGTTTTATCATTGCATGCTCATCATATATGTATATGTATATGTATTTGATATATGTTGTATTTTCTATATGTACAAGCAATAGCCACTTGGAGCCTGAAGCTACACCATCTGTTGTTGTTTTGTTTTTTGTCTTTTTGGAGACAGGGTCTCGCTGTGCAGTTCAGGCTGGTCTTGAGCTCACTATGGAGCCCAGGCTGGCCTTGAACTCAAAACGATCCTCCTGCCTCAGCCTCCTGAGTGCTGGGATTAAAGACATGCGCCCCCACACCCGGCCACAATCTAAATAAAACAAAACATGAAAACCATTGAAAGTTTGTGAGCCAGGCATGGTGGTACATGCCTGTAATCCCAGCACTCAGGAGGCTGAGGCAGGAGAATTGTCGTAAGTTCGAGGCCACCCTGGGCTACAAAGTGAGCTCAAGACCCTGTAGCTCAGCGGCACAGTGCCTGCCCGGCAAGCGCAAGGTTGTGAGTTCAATTCCCGGTACCGGAAAAAAACAAAAAACAAACAAAAAAAAGTTTGTGAGAGCGACAGTTGTGCTCAGTGTCTGCTCTTAATGCACTGTGAGTTTGGGAAGTTCTGTTCTGCTTTCTGCTGTGATTCACATTTTGTTCCTTTACATGTAGACTATTAAGGAGGAGACAGATGGTCTACATGAGGAGTTGGAATTTATTAGAATCCTTGGAGCAGATTTGATTTTTGCCTGTGGTGAAACTGAGAAGCCCGAAGTGAAGAAGAGCATTGATGAGGTGTGGAGAATGGATGAAACATTCAGATGAAACATTAGTGGATTCTGCCTGGAGAGTGGTATTAATTTAAAAATCTGATGGAATGTTTTTCTCCTAGATGAATAATGCTTGGGAGAACTTAAACAAAACATGGAAAGAGAGGCTTGAAAAACTTGAGGATGCTATGCAAGCCGCTGTGCATTACCAAGACACTCTTCAGGTGAGAGGCCAGGAGGTGACCACCAAGGAAGTGCAGGCTCCATCTTCTCTGGGTCATTTTCTAGATTCAGTGCAAGAGAGTATATCACCGTCACAGGACCTCAGTGTTCTCACACCTCAGATACTGCTGTTTCCACGTTTCTAGCCGAAGATTCTCCCTTCTAATGAGAAGAGTGGATGTCTGAGTTTCTACTCCTGCCATCTTCGTCATCATTGCATTCTTATAATTATACTCATTTAACTTCACAACTAAATACTTTACTAAGGTGCCTTACTAAGGCATCATTTTCCAGAGGTTCCATGCCCAGGTCATCATGCAGTATAATGTTAAGAAGGGTAGTAATAACTTCAGGTGCCATGCTTTTGTTTATTTATTTTTTTTTTTCTGTATTTTTATTTTAGGCTATGTTTGATTGGCTGGATAATACTGTGATCAAACTCTGCACCATGCCCCCTGTTGGCACTGACCTCAACACTGTTAAAGATCAGTTAAATGAGATGAAGGTTCGTATCCCAGAACAGCTTTGGAAGAAAAGTTGCTTGGTAGTTTTTAAAGGCTTGGTTTGATATTAATATTGAGTACGTTGTTGATAGGAGTTCAAAGTGGAAGTTTACCAACAGCAAATTGAGATGGAGAAGCTCAATCACCAGGGTGAACTAATGTTAAAGAAAGCTACTGATGAAACAGACAGAGACATTATACGAGAACCATTGACAGAACTCAAACACCTCTGGGAGAACCTGGGTGAAAAAATTGCCTACAGACAGGTGAGGCGAGTGGATAAGGGCATAAACAAACTGCCGTTGGCTCTTTTTAAATTCCCTAACAAATCTTCCCTTTCTGTCTTATTCTGAGCAGCATAAGCTAGAAGGTGCTCTCTTGGCCCTTGGCCAGTTCCAGCATGCCTTAGAGGAACTTATGGGCTGGCTGACTCACACCGAAGAGTTGCTAGATGCTCAGAGACCAATAAGTGGAGACCCAAAAGTCATTGAAGTTGAGCTTGCAAAGCACCATGTAAGTATTTTCATTTTTCAACTCCAGCTCTGTTGGTTTGAGACCAGATACTGCCTCCTAAAGCTTTTTGATGTCATGTATACCTTAGAGAACCAGGTTTAATGGTACTCACAGAGATGAATTAATGTCATTGAACATCTTACAGGTTCTGAAAAATGACGTTTTGGCTCATCAAGCCACAGTGGAAACAGTCAATAAAGCTGGCAATGAGCTTCTTGAATCTAGTGCTGGAGATGATGCCAGCAGCCTACGAAGCCGCTTGGAAACTATGAACCAGTGCTGGGAGTCTGTGTTGCAGAAAACAGAGGAGAGAGAACAGCAGCTGCAGTCAACACTGCAGCAGGTACGTGCACCATCCAAGGTAGAGTGAGGAGGAGGTCTGCATGCAACTAAGTCAGGAAAGCCACTGGTAGAGACCCTCATGAGACTTGTCTGAAAAAAAGTTTTTATTAGGTGGCTCTTCTTCTATTAGTTAGTAGCTCAATCTCTTTATTTACTATTCAGAGTAAAAGATCTTCACTATAACCAAGCCCATTCACAGATTTTAACTTTTTTCTTGTATCAAGTTCTTCCCTCTTCAACAATCCCTTAATCAGTTAGTCCATTCATCAGATATGTACTGTGTTACAGTGAAGTCTAAAGGATTCTGCTAGACTCTAGCAATAAACAAATACACTGTGCCAAACCTGCCACAGAAGAACTAACCGAGCACATCCCCACATTCCTCCCTTACAGTTCCTCATAGGATTCTTTACATTTGAAGCCGAGACTTGACTGCTTATATTGCTGATGTCTTTCTCTCCAAAGGCCCAAGGTTTCCACAGTGAAATTGAAGATTTCCTTTTGGAGCTGACTAGAATGGAGAGCCAGCTGTCTACATCTAAGCCCACAGGAGGACTTCCTGAAACTGCTAGGGAGCAGCTTGATACACACATGGTAATGATGATTTCTTCAAATGGAGCATAAGCACCCACATTCGGTACTTTCTTTCTGCGTTCACAGAGATGTATGTATCTAAGAATATGCAAAGGAGTGCATTTTCACCAGTAGCATGCAGTACACACTTGGTTACTGCTGCTTATCCGCTGGCTTTCGTGCCTTCCAATGCGTGGCAGCAGTTACGGGAGCAAATCAGCCAGAAGGGCACCAGTGAGCTGGTGAATTTTGAGCTGACCTATTTGGTCAGCATAACAGTATAATCAGCAGGTCATGGATCAAGAAGCCAGATAAGGGGCTGGGGACGTAGCTTGGTTGTAGAGCATGTGTCTAGCATGTACAAGGCCCTAGGTTCAGTCTCTAGTACTGGAAGAAAAAAAAAAGATAAATGTTATGTTTATATTTAAGAAGACTGTGCAATGGGGTTAAGGGACATCAAAGATTCTGACAATATTTCAAGAAAGTATTGAAGCTGGGCATGGTGGCGCATGTCTATAATCCCAGTACTTGGAGGCTGAGGCAGGAGGATCTCTGCAAGTTCAAGGACAGCCTGCTAGTACTACATAGTGAAACCCTGTTTGGAAATATATACATTTCATTGAGAAGAAAAGACAACATGATTTCTAGGCAAGTCCTTCATGAAAAGGAGAAATAAATTTTTGATCCTAAAAAATGTTTTTTATTCTGTTTACTTGTGACAAGATTATTTTAGTATTAAGGAAGAATGGTGGATTTTATTCCTTAACAGCTCAGTACTTGTACTGGATGCAAAAGCGGCTTTTAAATCAAAATAAGCTCTTCTCGGGCTTTTCCAGATTGTACTGCTGAATCTTGAGTATCTATAGGGAGTGGGTATTATTGATGTCTTCCTTGTTTTTTTTTAGGAACTATATTCCCAGTTGAAAGCCAAGGAAGAGACTTATAATCAACTGCTTGACAAAGGCAGGCTCATGCTCCTAAGCCGTGATGATTCCGGGTCTGGCTCAAAGACAGAGCAGAGTGTAGCACTCTTGGAGCAGAAATGGCATGTGGTCAGCAGTAAGCTGGAAGAAAGAAAGGTATCATCACAAAGCCCTGTATTTGAACATTTACTTGGTGATAGTAATGGTAATGTAATTATCACCTTGTTTCTATGAAGATTTTTCAAAATTAATGTAATAAGTTGCAAAACTGATTCTCTGTTGTCTTCATATTATTCCACCTATCTTCTATTTCTCTTTCCATCCTTGTAAAAAATGCGTTGAGTGTTTCTGTCGACAGTTGCTTTTATAATTACTCATTCTGTTTCTCTGCCAGTTAAGATCTTACTGTCTACTACTGTCCAGTGGTGGACTTTGTGTCCCATATTAACAACCCATTTGTATTAACTGCTTAAAACAGGGTTTTGTTGGAGTTGGTGAGTTAGGATCCAGAGGTGGGAACAGGGCAGATAAGGAGTGTGACTAATAGTTTCCACAAGGTATTTGGTTTCCAGTATAAGTACAGTGTGCAAGGAACTTTACTAAAAGTTCAAAAGAGAAGGAAATTATAGGACTTCCCACTGTTTTATCAAAATCAAGTTTTCTTCTGTGTAATAGTAAAGGCAGTCAAGATGAAGACATTTTTATGAGTATAGAGTTTCACTCTGTTTTCAGTTAGTCAGACTGTGAAGTAGGCATGCAAACCTGTTGGGCACACCCACTCAATAAATACTTACTTAGAAGCGTATACCAGATACTGTGCTAGTTCATAGTGGAAACAGTAGAGGAACAGACCCTATCATTATGAAGCTAATGGGCAGAAAGACTTAAGACGGATTTTCACACGTACAGATGAACATTTTGAGGGAAGCATTAATTTCATACAGTCCTTCTAGCATGGGGTTCAGTGATTGTGATATAAAGAATGGCCAGAGGACCTGAGTATACGGCTGTATTCTAACCTGTGACAGGTTCCTGCATAGGCAGAACACAAAACTGAGACTAGATAAACTGAGGTAGAGTCTGGTTCATAATCAGTACATTTCCTAAGAGTGGGGCAGAATGTCTCAAACTTTGTTAGTCATCACCTGAACTGATTAAGCAAAGCCAAGTGTCAAGGATAGCTATTTCTGATTTTGTAGGTGTATTATGTTCAGGATTGTAAAATCATTTATTAAATGTGTATGGTGCTATATTGCTATAGATATAATGAATGATAAAGGAACATTCCTGCTACTTAGGAACTTGGAGCATATTAATTTCTAAACATTCCTGTGGCCGATTTAAAGTAGACCTTACTTTTCATTCTCTACCTGACTTGTTTAAATTGGGTCAGTTCCTGTGTACCCCAGCCCCAGTACTAAGGATCAAACCCAGGGCTTCATGCATGCAAGGCAAGTGCTCTACTACTGAGCTACATTTCTAGCCCTGTACATTTTTAAAACATTTTTCATAAGGTTTTCGGTGAGATTACCGAAGTAATGTGAAAGTAGGAAGAAGAAAATAAAAATCGTAATCTAACACATCAGCTAGAGTTAATACCAGTTAACACTTTGGTATGTATCTTAGATTTTTTTTCCCCTATGAATACTTTTTTGGGAAGCAGGTTCTTGCTATGTAGTACAGGCTGGCCTTGAACTCACTGTGTAGCCCAAGCTGGCCTCAAACTCACAGCAGGACTCCTGCCTCAGCCTCTTGATTGCTGGGATTACAGGTGTGCACCACCACACCCAGCCTGTGCATTCATTTTTAAGATATTCTGAATATACTCCCTGTTTCCCAGTACTGGAGACTGAACTCAAGGAGTGCTGAACTAAGTCCCAGACTTTTTTATATGTATTTTTATTTTGAGATGGGGTCTCGCTAAGTCCCCAGGTTGCCCAGGCTGGGCTAGTAATTTGGTCTTCCTGCCTCAGCCTTCTGAGTAGCTGGGATTACAGGTGTGTGTCACCACATTCAGCTTGGATATTCATTTTTAATGACCCGTTGTTGTTTTGCTTTGCCTGCCTGGGTGTTGAGCTGTAAGAACAAGTGGTCAGGGGCGGAAGTTCCTGAGGGATGGAGCTTATGGACTATGGGATTGGAGTGTATTCCTGGTTATTAGCATTTGTCCTGAATGCCATTACTTTGCCATTCTGATTTAGATCAGTGTGTCTGAAAATTTTCATCCACTGGTGTTAGATTCTTACAGTTTTTGTTTTAATTTTTCTCATTACTTTTTCTACTTGTGGGATAAGCATACGTTTTAGACCCAGCCATTTCATGTTTCACATTTCTGAAAACATGTATTTAGACAGCATTATAGTGGACATTTTCTTTACAGCCATGTGCTTTTCGTTTAGCTCTCTTTACACCACACAAAAAAAAAAAAAAAAAAAAATTAAACGAAACTCAGAGCAGGTTGTGGGCCCTGCAGCTCTCCCCACCAAGGGTCTGTTTACTTACATTTGTCGAGCAGTTTGCTCTGTTCTTCCATGTCCCAGGAGGGGGATAGCGGCTGAGAGGGGAACTCGGTCACTGATTATATGCCTTCTTTCTCTACGTAGAGTTCTGATCCAGTTGTTTCAGTTTTAGACACTGACATTAAAATGTCCACTTCTTCACACAAAAGGTGTATTTGGAGGCTAAGTAAGGCTTCCAATTTGGAGGTTATTTCATTTGGTGTATAATTCATGCCTTTGCCATTGAAGCTGTAATTCCTAAATTTAGCACTTTTCTTTCTGTCTTTTATTTAAAACTCAGTTAAAGCTGGAAGAGGCCCTCAACTTGGCAACAGAATTCCAGAATTCCCTACAAGAATTTATCAACTGGCTTACTCTAGCAGAGCAGAGTTTAAACATCGCTTCTTCCCCTAGCCTGATTTTAAACACTGTCCTTTCTCAGATAGAGGATCACAAGGTAACTGTGACTCACGGTGTTACCTTTCTTTTGGTGGGGGGAGTAGTTTTTTCTCACCTTAAAGATCAATGTTGTTCCCTCAGGTTTTTGCTAGTGAAGTAAATGCCCATCGAGACCACATCATAGAGCTGGACCAAACAGGGAATCAGTTGAAGTTCCTTAGCCAAAAACAGGATGTTGTTTTGATCAAGAATTTGTTAGTTAGTGTCCAATCTCGGTGGGAAAAAGTTGTCCAGCGATCTATTGAAAGAGGGCGATCACTAGATGATGCCAGGAAGCGGGCAAAACAAGTAAGTTATAAAAGATGTTAATTTATTGAACAAGCTTAGGCTGCATGTCTGAGCATCTGTAATGGTTCTCATAAATGAATTATGCAGTTTGCTTATTTGTTCCTGTTGCAACATCTTTCTTATATAATTTTAGTTCCATGAAGCTTGGAAGAAACTGATTGACTGGCTAGAAGATGCAGAGAGTCACCTAGACTCAGAATTGGAGATATCCAATGACCCAGACAAAATTAAACTTCAGCTTTCTAAGCATAAGGTGAAACAGTTAATTGATTTTAAGTGCTGGCTTGGTATAAGCTTATAGCATGTGTAAGATTAGAAATCAGAGCTAAAGACAAGATGGTGAAGGGTTTCTTTTTTCTTCTTTTCTCAGTCCTGGGGCTTGAACCTAGGGCCTGGTGTATGCTAGGCAAGCACTGTATCACTGAGTTAACACCTCCAACCCCAGCCCCAGGGTTCCATTTTATATCTAGGCGCTGCAGGTGCTGTATAACCATGACACTGCTTTTACTTTTCAGTAAGAGTACAAGCAAAGTGGTTATAGAAGTAACCAACCAAAACGATAGGCTTTTAGAAATTGCTATGTACTGCTGTAAATGGCGTAAAAACAAAAATTATAAAATCCTTAGGGTAGGTTATTATTAATTTTAATTTGGTTTAGTTTTTTTATAGAATATATTCTTTTCTCTTGCGGTACTGAGGATTAAACATAGGGCCTCACACACTAGGCAAGCACTGTATCACTGAGCTACATCTATAACCTTTTTATTTCATTATCAGACATTAGTCCAGTCTGGCTTTGAACTTGTGGTCGTCCTGCCTCAGCCTCCCAAGTAGGTGGGATTACAGACATATTCCATCACACCCAGGCATATTTGGTCACTGTCCTGAAAACTCAAATTTTTTATTGTTGATCCATATTAAGACATTATTTAATTTCTGTGTGTGTGCTGAGGATTGAACCCAGGCCCTTGCAACTTTTTTTTTTTTTTTTTTTTTTTGAGACAAGATCTCACTGTGTAGTTTAGGCTAGCCTTGAGTTCAATGTATAGCCCAGGCTGGCCTCAAACTCTCAGCTATGCTCCTGCTTTAGTCTCCTGAGTGCTGGGATTACAGGTGTGCCGCACCATACCCGGCTCAATTGTTTATGTTTTAACATCATTTTGTTTGTTTATTTTATCATATGTTTATTTTTTTCTTTCTCAAAACAGGAGTTTCAGAAAACACTTGGTGGCAAACAGCCTGTGTATGATACCACAATTAGGACTGGGAGGGCATTGAAAGAGAAGACTCTGCTGACTGATGATGCACAGAAACTTGACAACTTACTGGGAGAAGTCAGAGACAAATGGGATACTGTTTGTGGCAAGTCTGTGGAGCGGTGAGCATGAAGTCCCCTGTAGAGTAGACAGCATGCCAGAAGTAACTAAGAGACTGATGGTGATAAAGCTGATGCATCTGTAGGAGGCTTTGAATTCACCATTAGGTTGTGATTTAAATAGAGTGTGTTACAGTTTTTTAAACTTGAATCTTACTTTATTAGCAAGACAGAAGCCTGTAAAGTTATACCAACAGTAACAGAAGATCAATAACTCTAAATATTTATAAAGCACAAATTTGTAATACCACTAATTGTCTTATACATTCTCACTGTGTGTCAGGCACTATGCGTATTCTCTTTATGCATTTAACCATTACAATAACAAGCCTCACCGGGCAGTTACTACTGAATGTGTTCCAAACAGTGGTCCCTAGTTATTAACGCTTATAAGAACCAGTGAGGTGGCTACTCTTCTTACTCCCATCTTACAAGTGAGAAAATGTTCACAAGAGGTTTCTTAACTCCCCAAGATCACTCAGCTAAGTAGCAGAGCTGGGATTTGAACCTATACAGTTTGGTTCTAGAAGCTATACTTTCATCCACTCATACCCACTAGGCTATGCTAAATATTATCATTTTTGTGTACTATTCATACTTCTAACTTTTCTGATGAGGCTATTGGGCTTCGGAAAGGTAAAGAGATGGCCATTTCTCACACAAAGAGTATAGAGGTGAGAGTTCAACTCCTCTGACTCCACACCATTACCCAAACCAATCATCATTCTCTGCCTAGGGTGCTACAAAGTAATTAACACAGACCTCAGGTCATCAGGGTATGTCCTTGTATCATTGGTTTATAAGATTCCCAAGAGGTATATATCCATACCCTAACCTATCTTATGCACTATACTTAATGCATTCTAAAGAGTAGTTTTAAAATGTCTGTGAAGCCGGGTGTGGTGACTCATACCTGTAATCCCAGCACTCGGGAGGCTGAGGCAGGAACAAGTTCAAGGCCAGCCTGAACTGTATAGCAAGAACCTGAAAAAAGATGTCTGTGCATCTCTCTGAGTCACTTTTTAGTCTTAATTGTTCTAACATGAAATCACTCTAGAGTTCAAGCAGTATTCCTTTTCAGTAGTTAGAATTGTGAACTATTCATATAAAGAATCCCTAAAGCCAAGCCTGGTGTTGCACACCTGTAATCCCAGGAGACCTAAGGGTCTCCTCAGAAGGAGACCCTTAAAGTGTTCATTTCCCCTAACACCTAAAATCGAAATGAGAGGTTCTTTTTAAAACCACTTTGAATCTAACAAACCTAACACCATGTTCACCATTCTTTTTGCTACTATTTAATGTAAGCTACACAT